CAGTATAAAGTGTCACATGATCCTTCAGAAATCATTCTAATATGCTTATTATTAGAATTATCAATTTTTGGCAACAAAATATTTTGCTGCCAAATATTTTTTTTTGGAAACTGCGATACTTTTAGTGTAGATTGTAACAAAATTTCTATTTTGAATAAACACCGTTTTTAGCTTTTTATTCATCAAAGAATTTTGAAAAAAGTATCACAGGTTCCAAAAAAAAATTAAGCAGCACAACAGTTTCCAGCACTGATAATAAATCAGCATATTAGAATGATTTCTGAAGATCATGTGACACTGAAGACTGGAGTACTGATGCTGAAAATTCAGCTTTGCATCACAGGAATAAATTACATTTTAATGTATATTAAAATAGAAAAACTTTATTTTACATCATAATATTTCACAATATTACATTTTTCCTGTATTTTTGATTAAATAAATGCAGCCTTGATGAGCAGAAGAAACTCCTGTAAAAAACATAAAAAAATCGTTCTGATCCCAAACTTTTGTCCGGTAGTGTATTTGACAACATTTGAAATATTTCATCAAATTATAGTATTTTTTTTAAATGACAATAATAAATGTCAATTCAAAGATCTTAATTGCACTAAAAATGGTCTTGCTTGTTTTCGGCTAAATATAAATTCTATATTCTTCATTCTGGAGTGAAATATGACCAGTTTTTGTGAGATTCAACCGTTTACATTCAGTATTCATTTCTCTAAAGAAGCCCCATTTTTGTTTTTAAGAGTGTGAGTATTTCAGACCAGTAGTTTTGATACCTGACTTTATCACGGGAGAACTTGGTACAGTATTTGCTCTGATAAAATCTGCTGTCATTTACTCACATTGTGGTCTCACAGTAGCAAATAATTAATCAGGCATATCAAAGGGTATCAGAAGTGTTTTTCATTTAATGAAAGCATCGTTCTGTGTTCTTAGTTTCAACAGTCTCGTGGTTATGGTTTGAGTCACTCGGCCCACCAGTCACATGTATATGAGCGTGTATGTGTGAGTGTGTTTGATCACAGCAGGCATCTGTGCCGGTCTTCATCCAGTGTCAGATCCACCACCTCAGGAGGAGGAACCCAGCCGGACTGCGCCGAGACAGACGTCCACTGAGCCGGAGCTCTCTGCTTCCAGGAAGAAAGCGACTGGATCACTCCGCCGTGAGGAAACCTTGACACCAAGCTGAAAATAACATTACAAAAACATTACAACTGTCGGAAAAAGTACATCATTCAAAGTAACTCGAAAAAATAAACACACAGGGTTTCTGCTGGTCTTAAAAACGCCTTAATTCATCCTTCCACAAATCAAGGCCTAGAAAGTCATAAATCATTTCATCAAATGTTGCATACATTGCAAAAAAATAATATCTTACTCAGTATTTTTACCTTATTTTCCAGTTCAAATATGTGACCCTGGACCACAAAACCAGTCATACGGGTCAATTTTTTGAAATTGAGATTTATACATCATCTGAAAGCTGAATAAATAAGCTTTCCATTGATGTACGGTTTGTTAGGATCTTGTACGGTTTTGAAAATCTGGACTGTGAAACAGGAAGCCATGGCTGGATAATTTCATGTTCATAATCACCCTGGAGTGCTCAAAATTGTGAATATGAATGGGAATATACTTCAGAGATATTTTACTCATAAGAATTTCTAGGGGTGCCAATAATTGTGTCCAACGTGTATTTGAAAAAAACATTTATTTCATAATGAGATTTCCCCCCATTTTAAATTCTTATTATCCAATGAAAGGTTAGATTTTTGCAAATTTTTTAAATAAAAGATCAAAAGGATTAACAATGCAGATTAATTTTCACAGCCTTCTTCGATCATATTTACCAAGGGTGCCGATATTTTTGGCCATGACTGTATTACCAATCAAAAATTAAGTTTTGATATATTTATGGTAAGAAATTTACCAAATATCTTCATGGAACATGATCTTTACTTAATATCCTAATGATTTTTGGCATAAAAGAAAAATCGATAATTTTGATACATCCATACAATGTTTTTTTTTTTGGCTATTGCTACAAATATACCCCAGCGACTTAAGACTGGTTTTGTGGTCCAGGGTCACATATATAAACATCCTTAAATTAAGATACATTTACTTGAGATACAAAATGAAGATATGAAGTCTTGTTTTCTGAGAAATTGAACAAAATTAAGCGACTTTAAGCTTGAAAGAAGAACGTGTGAAAACTTGTTTTCCCTTTGAATTAAGTAGATTTTTCTGAGCCCATTGGCTTTTTTTTTTTGTGTTTTGTGTTTAAGCATAAACTCAATTTAGTTAAATTTCTCAGAAACCGAGATTTCTTATGTCTCAAGTGTATCTTGATTTAAGGATGTTTAGACATTTTATTGGAAAACAAGAAAAAACAAATAATGAGTAAGATATTAATTTTTTTGCAGTGCATGCAACATTTGATGCAATTACTTTATGAATTGAAGACTTTCTGCTTCAAAGGCCTTCATTTGTGAATTAATACTTTTTAAGAATTGCAATATCCCCCCGTATATGCTGTAGAATTTTCATTGTCAGTTCATGATACCCAATGCATTAAGAAATGCTAATGAATTGATTCCTATTGTAAAGTACTAAAAACTACAATTTCATTTCAATTGAAATCCACTTATATTAAAAATGACTTTGGAAGGGTTACTTTAAAATAATAAAATAGAATAAAAAGAATGTTAAATGTGCACATACAAATGGCTCAAATCAATTAAATTAACTAGTTTTGTTTTCTTGCATATAAAGTGTTATATATACATATATAGGTGCTGCAACCAGTCATTTACTTTTTTAATCACTTATTTGTTTTTGCATCTAAAAAAATAGTCCTGTGGTATGACTGATGATTTTTTTTAATAGTCAAAATTCTGTGTAGTTTCACAATTACTACAAGGTCATGATAAATGGCAATTCTATTGTTGTTTAAATGTAGTTAAACAACCAATTTACAATTCTGCAAATTATTGTTTAGGACCAAAATATGATGTGCATGTTATTGCTTACCTAATTAGCATATGAATACTACTAAATGACTGCTGAATGATAAGGATCAGTTCACCTGGCTTTCTCTTGAACTCCAACGATCTCCACTTCACTGTCGGTGGATGCCAGACTCACCTGAGATGGCTGGACTTCTACTGCACCTACAGAAACACAAAATACTTAATTCAGCAACAGTTACAAAAAAAATAAAAAATCGTTTCAACATTCACCGCCATCCTCAGAATGAAATAGCTGATGCAACACAACAGGAACAAAACACATACACAAAAACAAAACGCAAATGTCCAAACAGAGATCAGACAGTGCCCGACGACATACTCCCTGGATTCCACTATTTAATACAAAAGTGTGTACTGTAGTTGAGGCCAACATTATTCATCTCACAGTAAATGTGAGGTAAGTCAGTAAGGAAATGGCTGCATCGCAATTCTCAAACGCAATGTTTAAATGACAAAACATGATTGGTTGTAGTGCCAATGGAGGTGGTGTGCTGCGGCCCGACTGGATTAGCAAAAAGTCCTTTTGTTCAAAATTAAAGTTCTGTCTGTTGATTGAATACTTCAAATTCATGAAATCACATCCCTAATAACAAAACTACTGCAGCGGCTTCCCATTTTCGTCAACGGTAAAAGTGCACAAAAAAAATTTCACAAAACTTTGGTAGTGCAAGAGATTGTGGTCTAAACGTATGTATTGATGCACATGTTTGAAAGTACTACAAGTTTGCTAATCTAATAGGAGTATGTGAATTGGGACACAGCCATTGTGTACGAGTGTACAGTCAATCTACCATCCTGGAGACTGAGTAACAGTAGCAACGAACCTGAGAGCGACTGAGACTGCTGTTCCTGTTCGGAGTGAGTGTCTGAAATATCATAGTGTCCAATCACTGCAGGACCCACTGCAACACACACACACACACACACACACACACACACACACACACCGTTCAGAAGATTCGCCACCATATCTGTATTTCTCCTAATTAGTTTCTTTTGAAAATGCTGGATTAAAGAGAAACACTGAATGTTAGCAGACTATAAAGCTTTAATCCTCATGCTGAACACAAAATAACATATTTTGAAGAATGTTGACGGTAGCCATTGACTTCCATAGTATTTTTTCCATCCTATGGAAGTCAATGGCTACCGTCAACTGTTTGATTACCAACACTCTTCAAAATATCTTTTGTGATCAACAGAAGAAAGAAACTCATACATGTTTGGAAACAGCTTGAGTGTGAGTAAATGATGACCAAATATTAATTTTTGGTGAACTATCCCTTTAATGTTAATGTTTTTACACTGGACTAAAACTTAAACTTACTGACTTTCCTCACACAGGGTACAACAACTTCCCCCCCAAAATGGACAATTTGGGGGATTTTTCCCCCCACCTTGTTACATTTGTGGTGTCCAGTCAAAAATGACCAAATATAGTTCCTCGTTATGCTATATTGTTACAAATATTGAATTCAATCTTTTTAATCAATCTTTTCAATTAGCACTGGTTTTGCATTTAGTTTTTGCAATGACTGATCATAGACCTCCTTGATCTGAGCTTATGCACCTCTGTTTTTGAGTGAATATTTATATATACATTTATATTTATATATTTTCTTTTCACTGAAAAACTGTTCACAAATCCATTTTATTCTGTAATGCAACATATTTTGCAAGACAATATTCAACAAAAAATTTTCAGAACTTTTTTTTTTTATCCATTGAAAATTGATTTGAGTGTCTTCTGTATGTTTGAAGGTTGTTAAAATCAAAAAACCTTTTTTCTTTTATTAAATAATGTGCACTGACAAACTGTTCCCTATAAGACCAGGAAGATGTTTTATTAAAGTAAATGGGTAAAAAAAAATTACCAAAAGACTTGAATGAATTTAGTAAACAAAAGCATTTTTTTTTTTTTACAATATTATAGCCCTACATGGACATTAAATGCAAACTACCTGGATAATAAGGCTATGAAAGTCAGGTCAAACAGATGAATGCTGGTAAAATACTAGTATATTTATTTACCAGCTAACGACAGAGCAGATAACACACATCAATAATGTGTTACATAGACATGAAAACACAAATGAATGTCGCCTGGCACACTTTTACGTTTGGTTAGGCAGTAGTATAGGACATTAAAAATAAAGAAAACATTTTTGGAACAAATAAAAAGACATTATCTCTGGTTACTCATTTCTTGGTTTCTAACAATTATAAGTTAGGAATTCTGTCCTCCATCTAAAACATTATGACACTAAACTTAGGCAGCCTGGATATTATTACACAAAAAGACATAAAAACGTAAACAATCTCCTTCAGACGCTCTATACAGTAAAGCAGTACAGCAAACAGCTTTCAAGTCCTCCTGCAAGTCAGTAACTACAGTAAACCTTGACTATGAGTGTTTGTGTTAGTGTGGAGGAAGCACATGATGGTCGAATCTCATGAAATATGGCCAGCTCATATTTCACCCTAAAATCAAAAAGAAATGACATGTAATTATTTTGCAATAAAATTAAGTCTACTTATACCCATAATTTTGAAATTGTGACATTGACAACTGAGAAGACTTTGGTGAAAAAAATTAAATAAATAGAAATTCTCTCATTGCAGTAACATGAATTGTTTTTCAAATATTAGAATATTCAAAGTCAACTATTTATATATCAGTATTTGTTGTGCTGCTTTTAATTTGCAGATTTTTTTTAATTAAAAAATGATTGTATTATAGGATATTTCAGAAACCACAATATAATGAGAAGCGCCAACTCATTACAATGCATTACAGTAATTAATGTGCACAACTGTCATTCATTTCAAAATGCATTAAAGCTTAATATTTCCAAATATAGGCTTCATTGTCTTTATGTAAACATTAACTTTGGGGCAAAATATGACTGACATGTTTTTATGGAAATTACCCTTAAATAGATATAGACAAAAAAAAAAGTGATCAATATCTCTTGCTTTAGACATTGTGTCCAGTAGAAATAGTAGTAGAATCACCTGTTTATTGCATGTGCATCACAGACTGTTTCTATTAGTGTTTGATGTTCGTTTGTGTGTTGTAGGTTAGTATTTATAATAAAAACCAATTTACAGGCTGTCATTACATTACAGCTCTCTATTGTCAGCTTATATCATGCATATTCCGCTTTGGAAGAAGCGATTCAATAAGAAACTAAAACAATCCACAATGCAAACAAGAGTTCTTTGGTAGACATGCCGGCCTAGATGAAGAGAAAAAGACACATGGCAGTCGAGGCGAAACTTCAGAAGTCTCTTGTGGAAATAACATCATGAAGGAGTTATTATTCTACAGGCAAGACAAATGATTCTTTAAAATAATCCAGGTGAGTGGAAGAAATTGGCTCTCCCAAAGAAATGAGATCGCAAAGGCACTGAGTGTGGAGGGCTGCCCTGAGATGCCAATATAAAACAACGGAAAATGTTAATAGAAGACAGATGAAGTTAAAGAAATGGTTTACCAAAAAAAAAAAAAAAAAAAGAAATTTCTGTCATTATTAACTCACCCTCAAGTCATTCCAAACCCATATGACTTTGACAACATTTAATTTACTTAAGTATATCCTGGCTACTATTTTTTATTTATTTTATTTTTTTACAATGGCGACAGTGCCAGTCAACCTCCAAAAAAATAAAAAATCCATACAACGTGTGTGCTAAAATCAACATTTTCTGAAGTCATGCAATAGTTTTATGTGAAGAAAAGACAAAATTGAAGTCGTAATTCAATTAAACCAGAGCCAGAGTTATTATAGTTAACTAAATCCATAATATTTTTGTTAAGTAAAATAAATAAAAAATTTAATAAAATTACAATATTAAAAAAACTTTATTTCATCTAGTTACATTCTCATTTTACTTTTTACAACGTGTGTGCTAAAATCAACATTTTCTGAAGTCATGCAATAGTTTTATGTGAAGAAAAGACAAAATTGAAGTCGTAATTCAATTAAACCAGAGCCAGAGTTATTATAGTTAACTAAATCCATAATATTTTTGTTAAGTAAAATAAATAAAAAATTTAATAAAATTACAATATTAAAAAAAACTTTATTTCATCTAGTTACATAGTTACATTCTCATTTTACTTTTGCTCAATTGATGTGCTAAAATTATCTATCTATATCTATATATCTATATATATAAAAAACAAAAACTAAGAATGACAAAAACAAAACAATAGCTAAAAGTAAAACTAAAATTATAGTTAACTGAAATAGACATTTCTCATTTAAATTTTGTTTAACGTGATGTATTAAAATAACTAAAACAAAAAAAAAATTAATAAAATTTAAACTCATATTATTTGTGTATTACTTATATTATATAACAAAACTATTAAAAAAAAACAGGAAGTATAAAAATAAAACCCGATTCAAAATATGCATAAAAACTATAATAGTATCATATAGTAGAATAGAATGATACTAGTATAGTATGATACTAAAGTAACACTGTCTGGAGCTTGACAGCCTCAGTTTCTTGTTCACTTTCATCGAATTGCCACAATATTCCTCAAAATTTCACATTTTGTGTTGGATGCAAGAAAGCCAAATGGGTTCAGAAAGGCATGAGGATGAGTAAATGTTTCATTTGTAGGAAAGCTGGTCCTTTAATAGAGAGAGAGATGTGGAAGCCAGAATGAAGATGAATTTAATTAGAGATAAAGAGAAGGTTTGTGCATTGTCCGAAGCCTCCACTTCAGCGGTCGAATTGAGTCGGCACAGTTGTGTTGCGTCAACGTTCTTTAAACGTTCGGTTCAGATGGCTCTGCACTTCCATTGACACCGGCAGTCTGAGGCGGTGGAACCGTGATAGCGCTGACTCGAGCCATCTGATAGGCCGCCAGCGTTTCCTGCGACTCCGACGACGGCAGGAATGAGCTAACGTTGCTCCGCCCCTCAGTATTTTCACTGGACGAAAGGTCATCATCCGAATGCATGTGGGTCAGTCTGTCCATCCACACACGAAAGCGCTCCTCGGTCTGTCTCTGCATTGCGGCGAATCGCGTAAGCGCTTCCTCCAAGACTCCGCCCAGGGTTCCACTGGCCACGCCCATGTTGAGTTGGCCCCGCCCGCGCGCTGATGCTCCAGAAGCGTCGGTTCGGCGATGGCCAGCTTAAAGACAGATGGCAGTGCCGAGAGAGACACGTCAGACACACAGGAATGCAGAAAGCGGCGGCGTTATTGCGTGCACACCGGCGAGCATGCTGGGGACAATCATGCAGCTCTCGCAGTGCATTCTGGGTACAGTTCACCTACAGTCATATGACTTAAGACGGCCTAAAGATCACACAGTGATGTAGATACCAGCATTTTAACCAGTATAACGCCAACCAACCCTCAGGATATTACATGTGAAGAAATAAAGACAGGAGTGTAACAACTAGAGATGTTCCAAATGAACTTGTCTGAAAGACTAGTCAACTACTGCTGCATCATTATGCTGGTTTACAGTTTCTTAACAATAAAACACAGCCCTGAGAGATATTAAATGAATAAAAAGGCTAATTAACATGATATTACACAAAACTAATCATAGACCTCACAGATTATGCATAATAACTGGAATGTTGGTAAGTGCAGATGATTTGACAAGCACTAGAAATTTTTTTTAAGTTGGTGAATGTGCACAAAAGAAGAGCTTTGATGACTGTTTTAAAAAGGATGAATTTAGAGGCACAACTTGGGGGGAAAAAAAACCTTTGAAACGTTGCATGTGTTGTTATTGTTAAATAAAACTTTTTGTTAACTGAAATAAGGTTGAAATAAAATATTATACAGAAATAATACTTAAATATTAGATGAAAAACTTAAAAGAAACTTTGAAATGTAGCCTTGACAATTAACTGAAATAAAATAAGTT